AAAATAAGCCATCTGAAAACCGAAGTTAAGATAAATATGATAAAATATGATAAAATATAATATATTATTAGAAAAATAATTTATTATTATTTATTTATCAAAAACTGAAACCAAACTGATTTATTGATAACTGAACTGATCAGTTTTTTATAAATATGACAAAATATGATAAAATATGTGATAAAATATAATATATTATTAAAAAATAATTTATTATTATTTATTTATCAAAAACTGAAACCAAACTGATTTATTGATAACTGAACTTATCAGTTTTTTATCATTTTGGTTCTCAAAATTAAAGAAATTTTTTTTTTATTATTTTAAAACCAATTTTGATTTTAACCAAAAACCGGTTTTGCCCACCCCTGGGAAAGGGACTCAATTCTCGGATGGGAAATTGATTGTAATTTGAAAAGTGAGAATGGGTGTGGTTGGCTACTATCTATAGCCTAGCATGCGAATAAAATATCCTAAACATAATCATTAAAATTAAGTGCTATTCTTAAAAGGGGTTAATGTCATCTATCGTCCCTCTACAATCAAAATTAGTGCAAGTTAAACCTTTTACTATCGATTGGCTCCATGTCCTCCCTTTACTATTAATTAATTTCAACTGTCGTCCCTCTACAACTCAAAACCCAGCCAATGTCGTCCCTCCATTTAGTGTAACGTAACGGCATTGTTTATTGACCGTTAAGTGTAAATGGCCACCTCGGTTAGTCCTTTTTTGATCTTTCTTTTTTTGCCACCCTTGCCTTGCCACATCAGCTCTCACAATAGATAAAAAATCCCCAAATCACTAGTTTCCCTAATTTCGTTCTTCCTTTTTGAAACCCATCATCTAAGATTAACCCAAACCAAAACCCCTAATTCAATATCCTTAAATCAGAAATCAGTTTATCCTTTTCTTTAAAAACCTAGATTCTGATCCCCAAATCACTTTCTTTTCCCCAATTTCTTTGTTCCTTTCAAACCGACCATCTGAGATTAACCCAAATCATAATCCTAAATTGAAATCCCCAACTGGAAATCAGTTTCTCCTTTCTTCAAAACCCAGATCAGTTTCTTCCTTTCTTCAAAACCCAAATTTTGATCCTCAAATCACTTTCATTTCCCCAATTTCTTTCTTCCTTTCAAACCCCACCATCGAAGAAGCATCCTTGTCTGAACCGCCATTTGAGAAACCGTGAGAGACCCTAGAAGAAAAGTATTACCCCATCAACAATCAACAAGAATCATTAGGCATATTCAAGAAGTTTGGGTGTTGACAATGTCTTGGAGAGACAGTCAAGGTTTCGATTCTCCTTCTACCCCACAATCACGCTTGAATTGTCAACAAATTCAATTTGGCTACTGCAATCTTCCATTGATAAAGAAAACTTCATTAACTCGTTTTAACTATGGGCGAAGATTTTGGGGTTGCTCCAAATATCCTATAAGTATTCTATACATTATGGCCTAATCTGGTATGATTTTGGTGTATATATGAATTTTCTAGTGGTTCTATAAATTTTCTGGTGTGTATATGAATTTTCTAATGGTTTTATGATTTTTGCAGAAAGATGATGGTAAAATAATTCAATGGTATGAGCAACATCCAGATGAGGAAAAACCATGGTGTGATTTTTTTATTTGGTATGATGATGAGTTTGACCCTCAGGCAAAGGCATGGTTAATTTGTTGTTGGGAGAAAGAGCAAAAAATGTTAAAGAAAGAGAAGACCTTGATGCCTGAGGTTCTTGAGGTGAAAAAGGAGAATCTTGATTTGCATAGGGAGCTTCATGTGTTGAAGGATTTATATTTTGAACTGGAAAAAAAGGTTGTTGCTTTTGAAGGGAGGTCTTTGGAAGTAAATGTTAGATGTTTGAACTTTAGGAATTTTTTAGCTTTTTGTATATGTCTTATTGTTTATTGGTTCTTCTTCTTGGTGTAAATGTTTGGCATTATGTACATTTGCTGAAAGTATTGATGTAGTGATGCTGTTGTGAAATTGAATAGATAGCCAATGTATTTTGCAAAGGAAATGAAATGGCAAGACTTTTTGGACCCATTCTTGTTTCATGTGTAGCTATATCACTAACTGATATACCATAAATTAATATATTGCTATTATATAAACTGAAAATGAAAGGGTAAGGCTTTTCTACATTTGTAGGAAAATAATTTGCATAGAACATATTAACTGATATATCATAAACTGATATATTCCTTAAACATAAACTAGAAGTGAAATGCCAAAGCTTTTCTACATTTGCAGGAAAATAATGTACACAGATTCTACAATTAACTGATACATCATAAATTGATATATCCTTAACATAAACTAGAAATGAAATGGCAAAGCTTTTCTACATTTGTTGGAAAATAATTTACACAGAGCATACACTTAACCATATATCATAAATTGATATATTCCTTACACATAAATTGGAATGAAGTTTGCCATTACATACAGAATTTGTCCAAAAAAAAAAAAAAAGGCCAAATTTTAGCCTACTACATGTTGCATGCCTGTGATTAAGTTCCACAAAATTCCAAAAATATGGCTTGACTACTACTTTTGTAACTAGTTCTAACAACCACAATACACCCAAAAATGCTTCAAGGACAATTGTTTCCATCACCACTAGAACCCATAGCTTGAATCAAAGCACCCCAATCTGCCAACTCCATTTCATCCAATCTACCTTGCTCCATTACCCTAAGTCTTGCCTACCTTTTTGCCTACCAACAAGTATGGTCCAAAATAAAAAATTATGTGCCATGAATAAGATTAAAGAGATGAAATTCTGATATTACCAACTAATTAAATTACCTTTAATTGTTGATATGTAACAACCTCTCTCTGCTTGGATGCTTGTTGCTGCCTATAGGAGGACTTATTTCCATATTGTGATTGCGGTTGAGAGTTCCTTATTGCCTTTTGGATTGAGACACTTTCAATATTGAACAACTCATGCAAATTTGAAGCAGGTGCATGAACAGCAGACTCAACAGGAGCCTTTGCAATCACTCTCGATTTTTTCCTTGGGACTGAGAGGATTCTTTTGCTTTTCTGTCCAGGCTAATGAACAGCAGAAAAAAGAGCACAGAAATGAAAATACATAGTACCATATGAAAGAAATATATGAAAAAATGAATTAATTTGTAACAAGAATTAAATCTGACATCTAAAATGCATAATCCAATATCTGTGTTAAAATAGGCATCATATCCTTCAAATTTGATCTTTTTCTTATGACTTTCTTTCACTTGCAATTAATTTATCAATATTAAACTAGAAATATTAATGTAAAAAATGAAACTTATGTTATGAAGAACATACTATAAAATGAGAAATCACCTTTTTGGGAGTTTGGATAGCTTTCCCCTTGTTGCCATCAACAGCTTTCCCCTTGTTACCATGCACTTGCACTTGATGACCATGACTTGTACCTTCATTAACTTCATTATTAATTGTGACACTCCCAAATTCAGGAACTGGTTCTTTAATTATAGGTTTTGCCTTTCTTTTGGGTTTACATTTTCGTTTGAACTCTTGTGGCATTTCAAGTGGACATTGGACAAAATTATTGACATCTTTTGTCTTCCCCTTTTTGCTTGTTGAATTCCCGTTATATTTGAACTGACATTATTGGTTTGCTCTTGCACATTAACAGCAACTAGTTGATTTTCTGCATGAAGTTGCAGTTGATCATCAACAGCAAATTATTCATTTTCTGGTTGAATTTGCAGTTGAACAGCTCCAATAACTTGTTGATTTTCTAGTTGAAGTTGCATTTGAACACCTCCAGCACCTCTTGCATCTCCAATAGGCATCTCAACTGATATGGGAATGTTATAAACAACATTTGCTTGAGTGGATGATGACTCGTTGGCCTATAGTTTAAATAAAAAATTCAACTTTAGTTATCTAAAACTATTAGGAAACAAACAATTTGAAGCAAATTTAATTTATTTAAATGAGATTACACTTACATTTTTTTTGGCTTTTTGGATGGACAAGTTCTAGAATTGTGGCCTTGTTTGAAGCATACTCTACAGGTCATGATTTACCCTTTCTACTAATGTTAAAGCCATTAGAAATTTCCCAATCTTCTAAATGCCTTTTCTTTTTAAGTCTGCCCGTTGTCTTCCTTTGCACTGGTGGATCAAGTGAAGGCATGCCTAGTTCTTCCCATCTTTCCATGCCATCTAAAGGAATTATGCAATTCTTGTATGTGTTAATGTATGCTTGTCTTTTGTAGCAAGGGTGCACATAGTATTCAAAGTTTTTCTCTCTATGCTGGATGGCAAGCATGGCATGTTTGCAAGGAATACCATTGAGTTGCCATACCCTACAAGTGCATGTATAGTCAAGAACATTGACCAGAAATGAGTAATTTCTTTCTTTGATCTCATATTCCACAAGGGCTCAAGCTAACATGTGGCACCTAGACATTGCAACCCTACGCTCCTCAATCTTCTCCCAAACTTTTGGACCAAATTCTCCAACAAAACTTTTGTCCACAAAGGCTTGTTTTGCTATGATTCTTTTTGAGCACTTCCATCTTAAGTCCTCTAGCAAGGACAAAGCAGCCTTTTGCCTTGCATCAAGAATACATTCATTGAAAGTCTCACACATATTGTTATCAATAGCATCACATTTGCTATGAGTATCAAAGAATGTCTTGCACCAATGCTTTGGATCATATTGCATTAGGTACTCTTTTGCTACAAGGTTCAACTTATTAATGTCTTCTATATTTCTCCTTAATTCTGCAACAGTTGTCGAGTTAGAAATGATCCAAAACCATTTTTATAACAGTTCACCCTGTGATGCTTCCTAAAATTTGCATATATATGCCTAGCACATCTCTTATGTGCAGCTTTAGGGAATAAGCTTTGGATTGCATTAATTAGACCCTATTTCCAAGTTTTTTTTAAAAAAAGAAATAAATTTTCTGCGGAACAAATTATATATAAAATAAAATTGATGGAAAAACAAATAAATTCACTTACTTTTTGCTAATCAGACAAAGATGTGAAGTTCTCTCCATCACTTATCATCAAGTCAGCCCCTAAAAGTTGTAGGAACCATATCCAGCTGTCTGTTCTTTCACATTCTACTATGGCCCAGGCTACTAGATACATTTGGTTATTTGAATCTCTAGCTATTGCTGATAACAATTGTCCCTTGGTTGGACCTTTAAGGAAGGCTCCATCAAGACCAATAATTGGCCTACACCCAGTTAAAAAACCTTCTTTCAAAGCAACAAAACATACATAAAACCTTATGAAAACCGGATTCAAATCAGGTGTAGGCCTTTCTGCATAAATCTCAACTATGCTTGTTGGATATCTTTTCAATATTTCTCGTCTATAATCAAATAGCTTGCCATATTCCTTCTTTCAATCACCTTGAAATTCCTTAATAATGTGTTGCTTTGCTCTCCGAGCTTGACTAATAGTAATCTCAAGATGCAGTTCTTCATGCATACCTTCTTGGATATTGGAATGAAAAAGAGTCAACGCAAAATAACCCCTGGTTTTAATAAAATGCCTAGCTACTATTGTAGCTTGAACTCTCTTGTTTCTCCGACTAAAACTACAAATATGCTCATCCTTATATGTTTTTATCATCCAACTCCTCGTTCTAGCATCTACCGGCAACAATACAGTATAATCAGACTTTTCATCCACACATGCAACCCGAACCCTCCTTTTATCATTTTTTATCAAAATAGTTTCTCTTCTTGTGTAAATTGAAAGTGCAAGAGCAGCATCCTTAAATTGCTGGGCGCTTACAAATATCATACCAATTTCAAATTCTGGAATGAGAAAAGTGTCATCAAAGGTCTTGTGTTGTGACCTCCTCCTTCTAGCTTCATCAACCTCACTATTGTCACTGCTAGTGACAAAGCTAACATTGTCATCTGAATCAATGGAATCACTATGTCCTTTAACAACACCTTGTGTTGGATCAAATAACACCAATGATGTTTCTTCTTCCCATTCAAACCTACCACCAAATTGGGACTTCAGTAGCTTATTTTGTTTCCTTGCCTCTTGCCATTCTTCATCCTCGTTATCAGTTAACCAAGGAACATTTATGAACTCATCACCACTAAGTCTTGCCTCCTGCATTATTTGACTTGATCTTGTTGCTATGGTATTGCTTTGTTCTCCTACTATAGTAATGGTTTGCTCCTTTGATCCAAGGTTATCTTGAGTGAGACAACCAAAGACTTCTTCATCATTTAAAAAAGCCTTAGATCTATGCAAATTTACAACAGAACCTCCCACCACCACAGAAGCCCCCACCACAACATTTATTGAAGATGCCCTACCATCATTGTGGGGTCTAGATTCGCCTCATTGTTTTTATACCTCTACCTCATGTTCCACATAGACATCTATGTAACCATGTTCAAAAAGTAGTTGGAACATATCATTAATTGATTCATCAAACACTATTAAAACAAGTCCATTTTCAAGTTTCTTCCTTGGGTGCTTATACCAAACAAAATCACTCATTCCATCAATGTCAACACTCAAGCCTTGTAGTTTAACTCTAAATCCAACAACATCTATGTCACCATAGTCAAACCACATGCTGTGGAAGGTACCTCCAACATACCTCAAATATGGATCTTTAACAAATTTGCCCCCAATGTGTAGATACATACCCACTTGCATGGTTCCCATTACAAAAAATGCCTAATAAAATCAACACAAATTATCAGAAAATAATAAAAGAATTCATTCAAAATGCATTGTAATCTAATAAACTAATGGTTACCATTATTTTACCAATCAAAAACCTAAACTAAGATTATTTTACTAATTTCCACAAATCCTTCATTAAATTAATTAACCACAAACATAAAAAACTCCATTTTTATTGTACACCTCTGAAGCCGTTCTCTGCTTTGTTGTTATTGGTCTTGGATTTTCATCCCTTTTCCTTCTCCTTTTTCAAAGATTCTAAAACTCAGATATCAAGTATGACTATAAAAGTTTAAAAGTATAAAAACTTGGGAATTTTTGGAGGCAAACTAGATAGAAAATGGGGTTGAGTTCCTGCCTACAACATCCACGTTGGGGAGGTAGCAAGAAGTCTAGGCTAAGGTAAAAAAATTATGTGAGAGTTGATGTGGCAAGGCAAGGCAAAGGTGGGGGCCCACAAGGCAAGGGTGGCAAAAAGAGAAGATTAAAGGACTAACAGAGGTGGCTATTTGCACTTAACGATCAATAAACAATGCTATTATGTTACAGTACATGGAGGGACGACATTGGCTGGGTTTTGAATTGTAGAGGGATGACAGCTAAAGTTAATTACTAGTAGAGGGAGGACATGGGGCCAATTGACAATAGAAGGTTTAAGTTGCACTAATTTTGATTATAGAGGGACGATAGATGGCATTAACCCTTCTTAAAAGTATAAAAGTGAATTGATTATATTTTTTATATA